ATTGTGTAAATGTACCATAATTTCTCAATCTATTTGATTGTGGTTGGACATTTGGGCTGTTTTCATGTTTTTGCGATGGTGATAACACTGCTATGAACACTGGTGTACAAATCTCCGTTTGTGCCTCAGTTCTCATTTTCTCAGGGTGTATTCCAAGCAGTAGAAGAGCTGGGTCATAGTCATATGTAATTTCTATGTTCAGATTTTTGAGGAAATGCCCAACTGCCTTCCAGAGTGGTTGTACCATTTTACAATCCCAACAAGAGTGAATAAATGTTCCTATCTCGCCATATCCTTTTCAACATTACTTGCTGTCCTGTTAAACTTTCTCACTGCTACTAGGGTGAGATGGGTTCTCATTGCGGTTTTGATTTGTATCTCTCTTATTGCCAGTGATATTGAGCATTTCGTCATGTCTCTGTTGGCCATCAGAGTGTCTTTCTTTTATTTCCGTGCCTCTTGCCCATTTTGTAATTGTGTTATCAGTCTTTTCTTGCGGAGATCCTGTAGGATTCTATAAACTTTTAATATGAGACCTTTGTCTGAAATGCTATTGCCAAAAGGTTTTTACCCCAGTCAGTAGCTTTTCTTTTCACTCTGTTGGAAAATGTTTTTGATGCACACAGGGATTTAATCTTTAGACGGTCTCATTTATCAATTTTATTCTCTTGGGTTTTAAAACTTTTTATAGTGGTCACACAGAACTCATAGACCATATATACTGTTATGGGTTGGTGGTGTTTTTTTTTTTCCCTCTCTCATACTTTGGGCATGTTGTTAAGAGAAGCTATTCTTTTTTTAAAAAAAATTATTATTTTTTGTGTGTACCATCAGATCGAAAATGACTGGTCCAGGAGGAGATTGCCCCTCCTTCACCAGCAGAGCAACTGGTGGATTCAAACCACATACCTCTGGGATTGCAGTGCAGCTTCTTGCCACTAGGCCACCAGAGATCCCTAAGAGAGGCTATTCTTTGGGAAAGTATGCCATGCGTGTAAAGGTGGAGGGTCAGTGATAGAGAGGAAGACACCCTATGAGATGGATAGACACAGTGACTGCACGGCATTGAACTCAAGTGTGTCAGAGATGATGAGGATGGCACAGGATAGGACAGGGTTCAGTTCTCTTGTTCATAGGGTCACTGTGAGTTGTATTCAACTCAGTGGCACCTAACAACAACAATGTTATAAGAGATTACAATTCAGAGTCAGGAAAGACTCAGGATACAGTTCTTTGATCAGCACAGCTCCCTGACTCAGCTGTGCCACTTAGCCTTATGACCTTGGCTTCTGCCCTGTTGGGCAGCGGAAGTGTTACAAAGCTCTTTTAGTTCTGCCAATTTAAGTGCCCCGATGCACACTCATTCACTAGCAAGCCTAACCACAAAGGTGCTCAGGTCTTGATCCTTGGATCAGCAAACCTAGTTTCCCAAGTGATACCCAAAGACACCCACTCTGCCAGCAAGCCTCGTGCCAGAAAGTGCCTTCTCACTCCGTGGGCCAGGACGCCATCGTTCTGTCTCGAAAAGGTCTCCTTGCTCCCCAGATTTTACTGCCTCTGCTTCTGCCTTCTCATGGTCTCTCACCCTCTCTCTAGTGTTACAGTTTTGTTTCTGAGATTGAGGAGGTTTTAACGCAGGGACCTTGGGCCCAGAGGATGCACTCACATTTCCAGCTCTTCTTTCTGGATGCCATTGAGATCCCCTCTTTCTGCCTCTGTAAATGGCTCTTTTTAAACCTGGTAGAATGACAAAGCTGACCAATCCCGATATGAACGTCCTATACCTTTCATTTGTGTGGTCTGTTCCCTACAAGTGCCTTTAAGGAAGCTATCCAGTCCCCTTGGCAGGCTTCAAACACTTCACATCTGTGGAGTCCTACCCAGTCACCAGGCGTGGATCCTTTCCCCATACCTATTCAGTATACCTATATTATATGTTGAGCAAATGATTCACTAAGTTGGACTCTATGAAGAAGAACATGGCATCAGGGTTGGAGGAAAACTCATCAACCAGACTAATCAAAAACCTGTGTTATGCAGATGGTACAACTTTGCTGAAAGTGAAGAGGATATGAAACACTTGGTGCAGAAGTTAAGGACTACAGCCTTCATTATGGATTTCATTTTAACATCAAAAAACAAAGGTCCTCACTACAAGACCAACAGTCAGCATCATGATAGATGGAGAAAGGATTGAAGCAGTCAGTGTGACTTTATCTTGATTGGTTCAACAATCAACATCCGTGGTACCAACAGTTAGGAAATCAGGAGATGTATCGCATTGGGTAAATCCGCTGTCACGGACCTCTCCAAAATGCTGAAGAGCAGTGGTGTCAGTTTGAAGACTAAGGTGCACCTGATTCAGGCCATAGTCTTCTCAGTCATCTTGCTCTGTGCATCAGAGAACTGGACAGTGAATAAGGATGACAGAAGAAGGATTGATGCCTTTGAGTTGTGGTGCTGGAGAAGAGTGCTGAATGTTCCATGGACTGCCAAAAGAGTAAACAGCTATGTCTTGGAAAAAGTGCAGCCAGAGTGCTCTTTGGAAGCAAAGATGGCAAAGCTTTGTCTTTCACACTTTGAGCATGTAGCTAGGTGAGGCTATTCCTTGGAAAGGGCCACCATGCTTGGAAAGGTGAAGGGTCAGCAAAGGAGAGGAAGACCCTCAATGAAACAGATTGACATGGTGACTTCATCAGTGGGCTCTAGTATGTCAGAGGTGATGAGGACGGCACAGGATACGGCAGGGTTCAGATCGACTCTTTATAGAGTTCTTGTGAGTTGTATGTACTCATCTTGATAGCACCTCACAACAACACAGTCACCAGGGACCTCTAGTGGCCTAGTCGTAAGAACCTGCGCTGCTATCCCAAAGGCCTGTGATTCGAATCCACCGGCTGCTCCTGGGAGAAGGATGGGCAATTTCCTTCTGTTCTATTAGCTGCCTCTGAAAACCTGCTGGAGGGTCAACTGTGGGTCGGTTCTGACTTGACAACACAAAACCACAGCAAATAACAACAACAATGACCATCCAGTCATTTCGTGGGAGGCACAGACAGTGGCTAGAAGAACTATTTCTAATTCACTGCACTGCACTCAACTCACTGCAATTGAGACAGTGTTACGAGACGTTGGCAGCTTACAATTTTGGCTCCATCTGGACATGCCATGGACCCTCGGGCTCAGCACCTGGACTCATTATTATTCCTCTTCAGTTCATTTCTACTCTAGCACACATGCCTGGAGGAATATCACGCTCATCTCCAGCTGCTTAAGGTATAACCACCCCCAGGCCAGCTCAGGGCTCCCCTGTCTGTCACCAGGCCCTTTTCTCTCCTGGGTGCCTCTGTCCACAGTTCTGTCCAGGCAAGTCCAGCACCATCTTCCTGGGTCTCACGGTGGCTCCCACGCTGGCCCCTTGCCATCCCTTCCAAATGTGGATTGAATCCAGCTGCTTCTTGTCCGGAATCCTCAGGCACTCATCATTGCCCTGAGAGTGCACACACTTACCGTGGCTACATGGCCCTTTGAGGATGGATGGATGGATGGATGGATGGATGGATGGATGGATGGATGAATGGGTGAAGTCTTAGGAGAAATTTCCTGGAAGAGGTGAACTGAGAGCTGATTTATGTTTTACCTTATTTAATTTCTTTTCAAATTATTTTTTTAAATTTCACATTGGCTTGCATACAAAGTTCGTATACATTGTGTTTCACACTATCCTCCATTCACATCATGTTTCATACATTCTCATTCATTATGTTTTCTAAAATCAGTCACTAAACCATGCCCATCATTACTCTGTCTTTCCACATCCCCACCAGCTCTTTCCTATTTCCTTTACTACATCCCCCCACCTCCACCCACCAAACTGTGCAACACTATGATATGCTTCCTGCTCACCTTCACCTCTCTGTTCCCGTATCTCCCCTCCTTGGATCCCCATACACATTTTAATAGTTACTGTTTTCACAATAATGATCCTATGCAGTATTTAGCCTTATAAGACTGAGTTAGTTCACTCAGCATAATGCCCTCTAGTCTCTAGTAATTTTCGAAATTGTTAGTCCTGAATGCTGTGTAGTATCCATCATGTGGATATACCACAGTTTCTCAAATGATTTCTCATTCGATTGTGGATGGATGTTTGGGCTGTTTCTGTATTCTTGTGATTGTGAATAGCGCTGCTATGCACATTAGTGTATAAGTCTCCGTTTGTGTCTTAGTTCTCATTTCCTTAGGGTATATTCCTAGGAATGGAATAGTTGGATTATATGGAGTTTCTATGTTCAACTTTTTGAGGAAACATCAAACTGCCTTCCAAAGTAGTTGTACTATTTTACAATCCTACCAACAGTGTATGAGAGTTCCCACCTCTTCACATCCTCTCCAACATTTATTACTTGCTGTCCCATTAAACTTTGCCACTGCTACTGGGGTGAGATGGTATCTCATTGTGGTTTTTATTTGTATCTCTCTTAATGCCAGTGATTTTGAGCATTTCTTCATGAGTCTGTTGGCCATCAGAGTGTCTTCCTCTGTTAAAAGTCTTCCCATGTCTCTTGCCCATTTTGTAATTGTGTTTTACTTTTGGAGACCCTGTAGAATTCTAGAAACTTTTGTTATGAGATCCTTGTCTGAAATGGTATTGACAGATGTTTTTTCCCAGCTGGTAGGTTTTCTTTTCACCCTATTGGAAAAAGGTTTTGATGTGCACAGGAATTTAATCTTTAGAAGGTCCCCTTCACCAATTTTGTCCTCTCCTGGTTGTGTGTTTCTGGCTGTATTTGAAAGTGGTAGCTGAATCTTGGGGCATGACTTGGAGAACTGGTTGGAAAGAAAGTAGTGAGTGAGGAGGGGAAAGGAGGGTCAGCATGAATGAGTTGGGGACATGGACAAGAAAGAGTGACTGGAAGAAGGGGGCCAAGCAGAGTTACTAGGGGCGCCCAGTGTTCTGGGCACCCAGCATGCGAGGCTCCTCTGCATTGTATGTGGACATTCTCACTGTCAATGCCATGTACAACAGTCTAGTGTGTGAGAAATCAGTGACTGAAGCCAGCACAGCTCCAGGTGCTCAGGAGTCAGCCGAAGTCCTCCTGGCATTGGGGGATCTCAGGGGCTGGCCTGAGTCTTCCTTGGACAGGACAGAGACAAGAGCCATCTGTGGCCTGTTCTCGTCCTAGAGTGGGGTCTTCTTTACTTAACTTGCAACCTTCCACTCAACTCTTCTCTCCATATGTCCCTCTGGTCAGAAGAATTTCAGAAGGACCCATGAGAGGTTGTTGAGGAGACTCTGTCCAACCTGGAGTGACCTCAGTGGGGCCAGGTGGATAGAGCAAGGTTGTTGAGCAGAAATGATGGGAAAAGACAGGAGTTAAGGCCCACTGTTCCAATATCAGGACAGGCCCTCTGCTTATCTAGCTGTAACCCATTCCATTTTGTCCCCCAGAGCCATGAATGACATTGGTGACTACGTTGGCTCCAACCTGGAGATCTCCTGGCTTCCCAACCTGGATGGCCTGATGGAAGGCTACGCCCGGAACTTCCGGCCTGGCATTGGTGGTGAGCTAAGCTGGGGCTGTGTTTGGCTGTAGCATGCGTCCTGCAGGTTCTGGGCTGGGAACAGGCCTTGCTGTCATCTGCAGAATCTATTAGACTTGCCAGAACATAGCTTCAGCCCTAGCGCCCTTGAAGAGGCAGCCAAGAAGGTGTATTGTCACCAAGAAGGATCTGGAGTCTAAGGTGCACCTGATCCAGGCCATGGACTTTGCCATTACTTGCTATGCATCAGAGAGCTGGACAATGACTAGGGAGGATAGAAGGAGAGTTGATACCTTTGAGCTGTGGTGCTGGAGAAGAGTATTGAATATACCATGGACTGCTAGGAGAACAAACAAGTTCGTCCTGGAGAGGGTGAGGCCAGGCTGCTCCTTGGAGGCAAGGTTTCCGAAACTTCGTCTGACATACTTTGGACACGTTGCGAAGAGGGACCAGTCCTTGGAGAGGGATGACATGTTTGGGAGGGTGGAGGGACAGCGCAGGAGAGGAAGACCCTTGATGAGATGGATTGATTCCATCACTGGGGTAATGGGAATAGGTGTGTCAGAGACAATAAGATTGGCAAGGGATATAGCAGGGTTTAGGGCTGTTGTACATAGGGTCAGTATGAGTTGTAAGTGACTCAAAGGCACATAACAACAACAACAACACTCTCTATGCTGCTGTTTTCTCCCCATTCACATCGCTGGGCTCTTGGATTGGGAGGGGTCCAACCTCAGCCCAGGCTGCTCAGGTCTTGCCCCTTCCTCCTTTCAGGGCCCCCTGTGAACGTGGCACTTGCCCTGGAGGTGGCCAGCATCGACCACATCTCAGAGGTGAACATGGTGCGTGCCTGCCCTCGCCGCTCCCTTTGTGTGCTCCTGGATGGAGCCAAGCCTGACTTCCATCTTTCCCTGCCTGGTCTGTCCCAGGAGTACACCATGACCGTGTTCTTGCACCAGAGCTGGAGGGACAGCAGACTCTCCTACAGCCATACCAACGAGACGCTGGGCCTGGACAGCCGCTTCGTGGACCGGCTCTGGCTCCCGGACACTTTCATTGTCAACGCCAAGTCCGCCTGGTTCCATGACGTCACTGTTGAGAATAAACTCATTCGGCTGCAGCCTGATGGGGTGATCTTGTACAGCACCCGGTGAGCCCTAGACCCCCACTCTCTCATGAGGTAATCTTATACAGCACCTGGTGAGCCCAAGACCCCCATTGTCTAATGGGGTGATGTTATACAATACTCAGTGAGCCCCATGACTCCTGTTCTCTAATGACATGATGTTATACAATACCTAGTGGGCCCCACACCCCCATTCTCTAATGAGGTGATCTTGTACAGTACTTGTGAGCCCCACAGTCCCAACTCTATAATGGGGTAATGTTACACAATACTCAGTGACCCCATGCCCCCCAGCTCTCTTATGGGTTGATCTTATACAGTACTGGTGAGTCCCAGGGCTCCTGCTGCCTGACCAGGTGATCCTGTATAACAAACACCGCCTGTGCCTGCCTGCCCCTCTGTTCCACCACATCCAAGCCCCAAGTGGAGAAAACCAGTGTCACTGATGCAGGAAATAGGGTGGGATGGCACAGCCAGGACATATTTCTGCCCTCCTGAAGCACTGGTTCAGAGGTTTTCAACCGGAAGCTGATAGACTTGGTCATATGGCCACCATATTTCTTCACGTGAAATTCATGGTCACCAGTCAAACACCAGGAGATGTCAGATGAAAACCTTTCTGTCTGACTCCAGTGAAAAATTGGCACGTCAGGCAGCACTGGGACTGGCCCTCAGCCTGTCAGTGGGCGAGGGGTAAGGGGACAAGCTTGCCAAGACAGTGCTTAGGGATGGGTCCGTGCTTCTGTTTGTACCCACTCACTACCCTCCCAACTTCGTCAAAAGGTCAAGCATTTTGAAGGAAGGACAAACTATGTGGAACCTAGTTCACAGTAGGGAGCTTGGGTGGCTTGGTGGTAAGGAATCACACTGCCAACCCAAAAGCACATGGTTTGAACCACCAACTACTCTGTGGGAAGAAAGATGGACAGTGTCCTCCCAGGCAATATACATCCTCTGAGAATCTGCTGGAGGGTCATTTATAAGTCGGTTCTGACACAGTGGTCCACCACCACCACACAACAACAGTTCTTAGTAGTGCTACAGATTCGCAGATACCTCTTGAGTGTTTTTCCAGATGCCTGGCAGCGTGTAGCTCAGGTCTCACGTGGCTCTCAAGTGGGCAGCAAGTGGGTTGGCACCAGGCTTTCAAAGGCAGAGGCTGTGCTGTGGTCCCAGGTGGGCTGGCCAGTCTCACCTGCATGCAGCTGACTGGTCCCCTTGTCTCTGCAGAATCACCTCCACCGTGGCCTGTGACATGGACCTGGCCAAGTACCCCATGGACGAGCAGGAGTGCATGCTGGATCTGGAGAGCTGTGAGTCTTGGCCAGGACCTGGCAGGGAAGGGACTGTGTGCCAGGAGGCCAAGCCGGTGCCTCTGGACCTTGTGTAGGAGATCAGGACTTCGACATGCATGGGGCTTGGTGAGGGGATTGTCCAGCTCAGCATTGGGCAGGGCCAGCCCAGCTCAGAGCCGTGGGAGCCAGAAGACCTGGAGCAAGCTTACTCCCCTCTTCCATTGTGGGAGAGTGGGGCTGTGGGTCCCAGACGTGACAGGCAACTCTGTTCTTGCCAGTAGTCCTAGACCCTATCAACCTGCCCGGAGGTGGGTACTCTGCCTCTTGCCCACCTGTGGGTTCTCCCGCAGATGGCTACTCCTCTGAGGACATCGTTTACTACTGGTCAGAAAACCAGGAGCAGATCCATGGGCTGGACAAGCTGCAGCTGGCCCAGTTCACCATCACCAGCTTCCGCTTCACCACGGAGCTGATGAACTTCAAGTCAGGTGAGGCCCCTGCCCGGGTATAACCTCTTTTAAGAGCCAGTTCTGGTTGTGTGGGTCCTCTCTGGTTCGGGGGGGCAAGGGTGCAGCCCCAAAGGGCTGACTTGGGAGTGGTGGGCACGAGCTGTGTGCAGAGGAGGGATTTGGGAGATGCCCCAGGATGGCTCATTTGTCACTGCTATACCGCTGTTCCCCTGACATTACCCAGGTGGCAGCTACATTCTAGTTTAAGGGGACTCAATAGAGGATGAGGGCTCCTTGAGGCCCAGGACTCGATTGTTAAACCTCCTTGACTCCCTGTCCTTTGTCCTGCATCCATCCCCTCCTGCCTGAGCTGTCATATCTCAGAGTTCCTTCTTTGGGGTTTGGTCATGCCAGATTGGGTGTGTTGAGAGTACAGGGTGGTATGAACAGATAGGAGAGGAGAGAGCTGCCACCTTGCTTGGGCTCCTAATCAGGGAAGTATGCTCAAGGCTGAAGCAGTGTGGGTTCTTCCTGTGCTCCACATACTGGGCCAGGGGGACCTGGGGCATGGCCAAGGCAGGGAGGCCCTGGCCCAGCAGGTTCAACGGGCTCTTCCTGAGGCATCTCCCAGGGTGGACTCTAGGGTTTTCACCTCTGAGGCTTGAAGTAGGCCCAAGTGCGACCCCCAAATCCCATGATGCATGGTAGACTAGGAGGACAGGCATGTCACACGATGGAATACTACTCAGTTTGCAGGAGCAATGATTTTGTAGATTACTACCTAACTTGGGAGGGAATGGAGAACATTACGCTAAGTCTTATAAGGACAAATACTGTATAAGACCATTGTCACTTATTCTGGTTTTAAAAATGAGAAAGAAAAAGTCATGCTGAAAAAGGACCAGACCCAAGTCCTGGTAAACCAAATGGTTCTGACACTCAGGTGCTAATGGAGGAGAAGGCAAGGCATGTACGGGGACTTAGGGGATGGGGTGATACTAGGTCTAGGTGAGGGCACAAGCAGGTGCCAATCCTGACAAGCCTTGCCCACAGCGGGGCAGTTCCCCAGGCTCAGCCTGCGTTTCCACCTGCGGAGGAACCGGGGCGTCTACATCATCCAGTCCTACATGCCATCCATCCTCTTGGTCGCCATGTCCTGGGTCTCCTTCTGGATAAGTCAGGCTGCGGTGCCTGCCAGGGTATCTCTAGGTATGGGGTCTCTTCTTGGGGCCTTTGGGGAAAGTGAGAGATAAGGGACTGATGGAAGATGGGAACTGGGAGCAGAACCCCTTTCCTGAACCCAGGCCTGGTGCTCGAGCCCCACCCACCATCCCTGTTGAGAGAAGCTTGGGCGGCATTGATAGGGAGGCTGGCAGATGCCCGTCCTCTGGGGGAGGCGAGGGGTGGGGGAAGGAGGACGGTGCAACTGAAGGCCACCCCTGTGTGCAGGCATCACCACGGTGCTGACGATGACCACACTGATGGTCAGCGCCCGATCCTCCCTCCCTCGAGCCTCGGCCATCAAGGCCCTGGATGTGTACTTCTGGATCTGCTATGTTTTCGTGTTTGCCGCCTTGGTGGAGTATGCCTTTGCCCACTTCAACGCCGACTACCGGAAGAAACAAAAGGCCAAAGTCAAGGTTAAAGAGCAGAGGGCCGAGGTGAGGCCTGGCTGGGCTAATTTTGCTTGGGGTCTCTAGGGCCGAGGACAGCACCTCTACTGGGCTGTCTGGCAGGTGGTGGACAGCGTGGCTGGAGGCCGCTAACTTTTTCCTGGACTCCTTCTAGCAAAAGCTGGTCCTGGAGGTCACTGTCAGGCCTTGATCCTGAAGAATAGGCTATGATTGGCCCAGATGGGGTCCTCAGTAGAGAGTCCTTGGCGAGGGGTCTTCTGTGTGGGTCCTCAGTGAGAGACTTGTCCCAGGACTGGGAGCTGTGGTAGGCTCAACCCTGCTTCCTCCTCTCTTCTTCATATTCAGCCCTGCTTCCCTCTCCTTTCCTCCCAGATTGATGTGAAGAATGCCATTGTGTTGTTTTCCCTGTCTGCGGCTGGTGTCAATCAGGAGCTGGCCATCTCCAACAGGCAGGGCCGAGCCCCCGGGAACCTTATGGGCTCTTACCGTTCTGCAGAGGTGGAGACGGGGGAGACCAGGAGGCCAGAGGGGCCCCGCCTGGGCGGCATGCGGGCGCTCTTCAAGCCCATTGACGCAGACACCATTGACATCTACGCACGTGCCGTGTTCCCAGCAGCCTTTGCGGCAGTCAACGTCATCTACTGGACGGCCTATACCATGTGAGGGAGCTTCTCTTGCAAGGAGAGTGACACTTTGAAGGAGACTCTGGCCCTCCTGTGAGAAAGACCCTCCTATCAGTCAACCTGCTCTGTGTATTTTAAAGCAAGGTGAAGGCAGGTGGAAACTTTCAACCTTTCAACTGCTGGACTCGGTCCATGGATCCCACCTCACTCTGAAGGCTGGTCTTTCCAGGCCTCTTGTGCAATGAGGTACAGTGGGACGTGTCTGTTCTTCCTGACTTTGCCAAGCAAGGTGTGCCACCAGGCCCTGGGACTTCAGAAAATGACAAAGACCTTAGGGCTCCGTGACTTGTTTTGTTTTAGACTCTCTGCTCATTATGGTTGTCATGGATGGTGTGGTGGCGAGCAGAACCCCTCAGGGCACTTGGATCCCTGCATGAAATAAAGCCTGCCAGCTGGCTAGTGGACATTCTCCATCCCTGAAGCTGCAAGAGTCTCCTCCCCTGTACCCGGAACCCCTGCCCAGTAACTTAGAGGGCTGTCACGCCGTTGCCCCTTCTTTTGGCAGCATGTGGTCAGAGGGAGGACCTTCGAAGCCCTAGAATTGAGTACAGACAACATACTAGAGCCAGGTAGATAGTAGAGGATCCTGAGAGGAAAGTTATCCAAAGCCAGGAGGCCAGGGTTGGAGTACAGAGTCTCTGGAAAGGGAATGTCTTCGACTGCTGGGCTCCTGTAATAGAATTCTCCAAACTGGATAGCTTACCAGACAGGGGCTTGTTATCTCACAGGGCGGGTGGGAGTCGAACTCTGGATGCTGGCAGGCCCATGCCTTCACTGTTAGCTTTAGGGAAAGACCTCTCCTTGGCTTTCCCAGCTTCTGGTAGTCCCAGGCATCCCTTGGCTTGTAGTGTAACATGCCTCTGTCATCTCATGGTATCTTCCCCCTCTGTCTGTCTCTTTCTCTGGCTTCCTTTGTAAACACACATTCAAATGGGGGTCTACGACCCACCTTAGTCCAGTATGGCTTTATGTTCATCTAGTCGATGATATCCTGAAAGTGCTATTTCCAAACAGGCCACTTTGACAGGTATCAGGATCAGAACTTGTGTACATCTTTTTTTGAGGGACACGAGCCAGTCCACAGCAGAGAATGACCAGCCTTGACAAGTTGTCTGGTATTCCTCCCATAACTGGCCTATGTCAGACCCATATCTCAGAAGAGGTCCAGATCTGTCTCAGATGAGACACATGCCCTCCCCTCTTCCTCATGCACAGGGTGAAGGTAGGATTGACATCTGAGCCTGGAACCAGCCCACCCAAACCCCCACAGCCTTCCTAAAGTCCTGTGGTCCCTAAAGCCTGAGCAAAGACCCAAATCCTCTAACATCTGGTTGACCACCCTCCATCATGTGGTTGTGTCCCCATTCAGGGACATTGATAAGTAGGTGGCGGGGTGGGGGTGGGGGAACACCAAATTGGTCCCCAGAGGCAGGGTGACACTGATGCTTTCCTGGACTAGCAATGAGAGAATTGAGTGCTTTGAGTTTCCACAAACACCCTCTGCCCTGTCCTTCCCTTTGGCACCCAAGACGTGGAGTGACAGCACTGAGCTCTTGATAAGGGGTCTAGGTTTTCCACTGCTGTGGTCATTCTACTAGGAGGATACAGCAGTGCAGTTAGAGGCACAGCTGTGCAACTCTGCCATGTGTTCTGCTCAAAGGCCACTTCCACCCAACGCCTGGCTCAGTGATCCCAGAGCAACCCTCCATCTCACACACACATGGACTGGCCTTGGTGACGACCTTGTGAAATTCTGGAAAAGCTGCCTGGCCAGGTCATGTGTGCCAAAGTCAGCCCCAGCCACCCAAAGTCCCAAGTAGCTGGACCCCAGGGTCAAAGTGATGGGATGCTGGGGGCAGGTCATGATGAGTCAAGTTCAGGTGGCAGAGGCTACTCAGAGCCACTCCGGCTAGGAACCTAGGCCACACTCAGAGTAGAAGACAGGGCCGTGGGCCCACACTGTGCCAAACTTTCACTTTACCCTGCTTCCTCCTACCTCTTTAAAGACACCTTCCCTAAAGGCTGCCTCTGTGTATCCTGGCTCTGAATACTAAGAGGAGGGGACATGCAGGGACTCTAAGCCTTGATGTGGACAGACCTTGGACAAAGCGGGGGAGCAGGTGGCCAGGATCAGAAGAGCTGGATCTGGGTCAGCTGGGCCCCAGGCCACCTCCAGACAGCAGAAGAGGACAGTGACCAAGGGCAGCTCATCTGACAGGAGGCTTTGCAGCAGGGGCACCAAGCCCAGACTGTGGATCCAGTGGGGGCGCTGCCCAAGGTTGGGACTCTACCCGTTCAAGTCCCTGAGCCCTTAGATCCTTTCCCCTCCTCAGCTCTGGCTCCTTCTCCCTATGAGCTTCGTGGAGAGCCCAAGTCTCCACAACAGCACCCATGTGGCTACCCGGCTGGACCAAGACGGCCACCACCTCCCACTGTTCAGGACTGAGGACTCTGGAGGTCTGAGGGAGGCAGGGCAAGGCCACTCGGACTCTGGGGATGTTTAGTGTAGGCAAGGTCCTGAAACTCCAGGCTGGCCTGGACCAACCTCCCCCGGGGCCGGGACCCTGCCCCCAGCCCTGAGCTTGGCTGCCTGCATTGCCCTCTTTCTGCTGCTGCGTGCCCACGAGGAGCTATTTAAAGCGGCCTCTGTGGTTGCCTGGGCCCGTGCAGCGAGGCGCAGCCCACCCCCAGAACCTCCGCCCGCTTGCAGTGCACTCCCCACTCGCTCCCGGCTGTGGCTGCTATTTCTGCCCACGTCTTACAGGGCCGGTAGCGAGCAGGGAAGGCTGGTGCTTTTTAAACATTGAGTTCTATTTCTGTAATGATGATCTGAGCAGATTAAAGGCTGTACCGGAGTTTGCAGCTGAGCGGGCCCGCTGGGGAGGGGGCATGTACCCTGCCTGTGGCAGGGGCCATGGAGGCAGAGGGCAGGGCTGGCTCTCCTCTCCTCCTCCTGGCGGGGAGATTGTGGCAGAGGCTGGGACATGTCTATTGAGAAGCGCACTCTTCAGTGTGTCCCTGAGAAGGAGCAACTCCGCCCCAAATCTGGAGGCGCAAGGAGCAGGTGTGAGGGGCCCTGGCTCTTCCCCTCTCCTGCAGCCCTGCTCTCTCAGAGGTGGGATGAGGGCTGGCTGCACCTCAGGCATCTGCTCTGCCCCTCCCTCAGAGTCAGATTGGCATGCAAACTCCCTAACCAGAGCCCACACCATACAGCATCCCCAAATAAAGCTCACACCACATACCCCTCTTAACCAGAGCCCACACCACACATATCCCCAGAGTCCACACCCTACACTCCTAACAATATCCTACACTTCACATACCCCCAACCAGAATGCATATCATGTACCCCTTCTAGTTCCCACCCCATGCGTACCACTCAACCAGAGCCCACACCACACAGTTCCCCTAACCAGAGCTCACACCCCACACCCCTCCTAACCAGACGCTACATTACACATACCCCAAACCAGAGCCCACACCACATAGTTCCCCTAACCAGAGCTCACACCCCACACCCCTCCTAACCAGACGCTACATTAACATACCCTTAAACCAGAGTCCACACCATGTACCCCCCTAACCAGAGCTCATGCCACACAGTCCCCCTAATCAGAGCCCACCCCATGCATACCACTCAACCAGAGCCCACATCACACATACCCCCAGCCAGAGTCCATACTCCACACCCCTTCTAATCAGATCCTACACTACACATACCCCCAAACCAGAGTCCACACCATGTACCTCTCCTAACCAGAGCTCATACCACCCAGTCCCCCTAACCAGAGCCCGCCCCACGCATCCCCCACCTAAAGCCCACACCACACATACCCCCCAACCAGAGCCCACACCACACAGTTCCCCTAACGAGAGCCAACGTGACAGTTTCCCTAACCAGAACCCACACGACACAGTCCCCCCCAAACCAGAGCACACACCACACAGTTCCCCCACCCAGAGCCCACATCTATAGATATCTTTGTTCAGGTTCCTGTTAAATGAGAACGTAGCTATGCATCTGAGAGATAGACAGTGAGTTAGGATGACCGAAGAAGAATTGATGCCTTTGAGTTATGGTGTTGGAGAAGAATACTGAATATGCCATGGAATGCAAAAGCAAACAAAAACAAACAAACAAACAAAAAAACAACAACAAACCCCAAACAGATATATCTTGGGAAAAAAGCCATAGCACTTCTTGGAGGCAAGGATGGTGAAGCTTTGTCTGTCGTACTTTGGGCTCGTTGCTAGGAGAGGCTATTCCTTGGAAAGGGACATCATGCTTGGACAAGTGGAGGGGCAGCAACGGAGGGGAAGACCTGTGACGAGATGGATTGGCATAGTGATGGCAGTTATGGGCCCTAGTGTGTCAGAGGTGATGAGGACGGCACAGGGTGGGACGGGGTGTAGATCTGTTCACAGGGTCTCTGAGTCATACTCGACTTGATGGCACCTAACGGCAACAACAATCAGGAGGGTGCAAATCAATAAGGACTCAGCTGCTGATAGAAAGTGGGGAGGTCAAGTCTACCCAGAAGTCCCTGGGAAGAAAGGCCTGTTGGTCTGCATCTGATGGTCAGTCACTGAAAATGCTGCAGAGGAGCACAGCTCTGCACTGACACACACGGGGTCGTCCTGGAGCCACCGTCAGTGGGAATCCACTCAGTGGGATCTGGGTTGGCCTTATAATAGTTTCCTAGTGGGAAGAAAACTTCAGTCCCATAGTGTGTTACCTGTTGTGTTGCTCACCAAAAGATTAGCACCCCGACAGAGAAAGATAAGGCAGCCTCCCATAAAGATTAGGATGTGGGAAACTTGATAGAGGGTTATCATAGTCTCCATACTTTTCCAGTTGGTACACGGAACAGATCATCTGGGAGGCTGTACTTTATGAGGAGAAATGTAACATCAGGACTGGAAGGAGATTCATCAATAACCCGTGTTATGCAAATGCTTCAACCTTGTTCTCTGAGATGG